CTGGCTTTAGGTCCCGAACCCTGGCTCAGCTGAAGATACACCTGCGTAACTTGCTCTTCCTGACTCTGCCAGGGCTCAGCCAAGTGGTTGAGCTGATGCCATGTAATGCCTCATTCACACGGGCAAGTTATTCTGTTTTCATGACATCCCCCAGCTAGGTTCTGCATTCTATCTGAATTTTCACACAATGTGAAAGCTACTTCTGGAACCATAGGGTAATCTAGTGCACATTTCGTGCTCACTGCTGTGTTATTTGCTTCATGAAAATCTGCTCCCCCAAAATATGGAAACAAGTGCTAAACCCGTGCTGCAATTCTGGAAGTGGCTTTTACAGCACCTGACAGCTCTAATATAATATATGTGGAAAATAAGTTCGGAAAACAACATGAAGATGGGACAAACTTTGATGTGAATGCAGCGCCTAAGTCCCTCAAAAGGGGTGTCAGGGGCAGGACCAGAGAGAGAGGGCTTAGTCTGGATCCGAAGCCCATTCAGTTTGCTTAAGTGACTTGGCAACCCAGCACAGAACACCTTTTAAAAGGCTTGCCTTCCTCTGCCAGGCTTTGGCAGAAGAGCAGCAGCACCTTTGCTGCTGGAAAGGGTTTGGCGCTAGTGCAACTTTATGCTGCCTTCACTTATGTTTGCCTGCTTTACACCAGCTTCTTGCCCATAGGGTTGCTCCCTTCGCTTCTTGCTTGCCTGGATGGAGATTAGAGGGTGTGTATAAGTGCCCCTGGCCTTGCACACTGCAGGTGTGTGGCCCCGATGAGGATACAGCCCTCAAGCTGGAAAACATTCCCTGCCCCTGGCCTGGGTAATGATAAAGAAGCCCTGGAAGCATGGTCACATCTGGTTTGAAAAAAGCGGGCAGCTCTTTTCCTCTGTCCTGATTCCAAACACACGCCTAACTATATTTTGAGACAGGGAAAACATCTTCAGATTAGTTTGGCTGGTGGATTTATTTTTCCTTAGTCTTTAAAGCATTGCTGCAGAAATTCCCTGCCTGTGCTTCGTTGAAGGTGCTTATTCTGTATTCTTCCGGAACTTCTGTCCTCATTCACTGCTTTCTGCAGACTATAATTTGTGGACTCAAGTGGCGGCATTCCTATATTACAGGGGATAGTTTATTAAGAATATTCAGAGGAGATTAAGGTGTGGTCTCAGTGTTTCTCAATCACTTCGACTATATGCAACAGAGGAAAATAAATGTCATTTCTTTAAAACACAGGGTGGAATAGCAATTAATATGTGGGTGCACGAGGCACTGTATTGATGCTAATATCGTGAAATGATGGCAGATTTTCAAAACCAGCTTCTGGGCACAGAAAGCTTCTTTTGCACTTGGCCTCTTGGCTTAAACTAACAGCACAGTGTAATAAAATTAGAGATGAGTTCATAGCAGCAGTTCCAGCAGGTCATGCTGCCCTTCTTAAAAGAAGGAAACAATTATGCGTGCTTCCTGCCCACAGATTTACTGGAATCTTGATGGTCACTATGCGAGCAAATCAGGCACCAGCCTGGGCAATGGTTGGCAGGTGCTCTGAGGCATGGGTTTGCCCTCATGTGCTCTTTGGCACAGAATGAAGCATAATTTTTCCTCTCACTTTTAATTGAAAATATTAAGTTTGTGAAGACTTGAACAGCTTGGGTCTTATATATCTTAGGAAACTGCTTCTCCCATATGTTTAATATTTATTTTTAACATTTTTTTTTTGGTACATAGACATTAAACAGAAAACAATTAATAATTTGTGCAAACATTAAAGCACATAGCTTCACTACTGATAGAGAGCACCCACTAAATAACAGTGGTACCCACACAGTTAAGAAAACCTTCCAAAATGAGATAGTGGTGGTCAGGTATGTGATGTCAGAGCAGGCTCTTGATAATGTGTGGCAAATTAGAGTAGGTCCTTTCCAATTTGGGGAGTTTCTTCCAAACACTGAACAGAGCCCAGAGCTTGAGACGTGAACATTATCATTAATTATGTAGCATCGTTCTCTCTCCCAGTTGGTCTGAAAGGACTGCTGAAATTAGATAAAATATTTGTTTTACGGGTACTTTAAAATTGTAAACTGCCTTGGATGGCTTGCCAGAAATATGGTATATTATTCTTCTTGTCTGTCTCAAGAGAATTGAGTGCACCTCCAGGGGGTGATGTCAAACTGCTTGCGTTATCAGCACCAAAGTGACCTCCCAGGAGCGCAAGCCTAGGCAGTGTGCATGGATGTCCTGGGCTTCCAGATGACAAGACACCCACACCCATGCCCAGCCTCACTGATGTGGTCCAAAGGAAAGGAAAGCAATACGTTTGGCACCAGCTTAGCTGCAGGGGTCTTCCGAAGGAGGCGTAAAAGGCACCACCAACCATCTTAGGGACTCCACTCCAGATTTGGAGTTTGCCCCTTAGCCTTTTCTTCTCCCTGCTCAATCTGCATCCCTCCCACTCTGGTAAGTGCCAGCAATGTGCCTGTGTTCAGAAGCCAGGAGAGCAGCGATGCTCCACCTACGCTGCCACACAGGCCACTTATGAATGCAAGCATAGCTCTACAATACGTGGGAAGCATGAAAGTGTTGCAAAACTGGAAGAGAAATCAGAGAACTAGTCAACCTCGCACGCTGAATACCATGTTCCCTAACAAAATTCCTCAATAAACCATGGGTCTCCAAAGTTCTTGGTTGGCACACAGACTCTTAAGCCTAACACACAAATGTCCTATAAGATGGACCTTATATTCAATATCTTTGCTATACAATAGTCTTCCTCTTTTCACATGGATCACTTCCTTTCTCTCCCTCCCCAACCCACGGTTCCCACCCACAGTCTTAAGTCATAAGGAGTACTTATTCTCCAATGCTTCTCAAAGGGCAGTGGCATACTAAATGATCATTTACTCTTTAGATAGGAGCAAGTGCCCCTCTCCTGATATCCTAAAGCCTCAATATGCATATGCACACATCCATACCCACAGGAAATGACCTCCCAACTTCACTTTTAGCTATAGTGTTTATCACTTTTCATTCCTCCCTCTCCCAGGTATAATAGTTCTCCTGTACAGCAAAGAATGTTAATTAACCATATCACCCAAGTACACAAGTTAAAAATTCTCAACTCAAAAGTACAGGTTGTATTTGCCTTAAGTACAAAGTGTAGAGGCTGTAATGAACCAGAATGGCCTTTTAACAAAAAAAAGAAAACAAGGCATTAAAAAGTGTGAGTGGGTACTATTATTAGTCAAATAGCCTAGAATGTTTGGTTTTCAAGTCAGGCCTTCTAGCTCCCAAATCAAACAAACACGCACACACAACTAGTTAAAAGTAGGCTATATATCTCAAGCTCCCTTCAGACCTCACTAGAAAGTGTCTATTGCAGGCAGGGGTCCAACTTCAATCTTAAGAAGCAGCCCAATAGCCTACTTTGTTGGTATGTTAAAGAGAACTGTATTTGAGCTATGAAAAACGAATATTTGTTTTCTCATGAGCTTATTCTTCCTCTCATTTTATCGCTCTCATACCATCTTCTCAGCCTCTTTCCGCCTTCCATTTCTCTCACTAACAAATGTTACTTTACATGACATACGCAAAGGTCGAGACCCAATGTTCTACTTGTGCCTATTATTATGCATGTACTATACTTGTTTATACATTTTTTAAAACTTTTGGATGTACTATATAAGCCTAATAAAAACTCAATAATTAAAATAAACCATATGTTTTTTCTATGAAAAACTATTGTCCAGCCTGGGAAAGTAAGGTCAAGCATGACCTTTTCATAAATGGAAGAATATGAACAGAATGCTCTTCTTTGGACAGACACTTGGGCTGAGTTCTGCAGAAGGTCTCTGATGCATAAAACAGATCTTGTATTCCTGATTTTGCTGGCCTTAATTAAAACCTCAGCTCAAAGGAACTCAGCATTGACTCTGAACTACTTCAGGTAATTAGTAAAAGAAATAAAAATAGAAAACAAGAGAGAAGAGAGAAAATGTGCAGAAGTACTCTTATTACTGAGCAACTACAATCATCCTTTATTTAGGGATATCTGGGAGCCAGGAATTCCAAAGTATTATAGTATATTTATTTATTAAATGTATATACCAACCTTCATCCGAAGATCTCAGGGTAGTTCACAAAAAGTTTAACACCAAAGGGGACAGTATGTTTTATATGAGATGTGCGGAACCTTTCATCCTCCAGATGTTATTGAACTATAACTCCCATCATCCCTCACCATGTGTGTTGGTGCTGATGGAAGTTGTAGTTTAGCAACCATCTGGAGTGCCACATCCACCCTACGTGGACCAGTTTGGTGATAATCCCAGGAAGGTAATCACCCAAGTATCAAATTGTCTGCCAGATTTTTTCTCATAATTGGGTACTGTATTCCAGGCACTTTTTATATTATTATTTTACATAGTACTTTTGTGAAGTTAACTTTCTTTATCTTGATTTCTCCTTCTTATTTATCACTGTCCTATACATATCTGGAACTATAAGAAATGAAATAAATAAAGGATAAATGAAAATTTCCTCATATGGAAGGCACTCTAGCTTACCATATCAAACAGCAACACTAATGCTTAAAATATTTTTGTAGCACTTAAAGTACTCATCTAATTAAAGTTCACATTTACATAAAACTTCAGAATATTCAAAGTATGTGGAAATGTTGGATATCCCAGTCTTCATGCTCAACAGTCAGGGTTGTAAACCAACAACATATGGGTCACAGGTTAGCTACCCCTGGTTTAAGACAAGAGGAAGATGACATTTTTCAAAAAGGGTTCTACGGATCTTTGCATTGCTTTAACATGAGCAATATCCTGGTCTTGCCATAGTTTGGTGTTCCGTTGAGTAACTTGTTCTGAACCAGATGTATGTGATTTATTGAATTGCAAAATACAGTAGTTTGGTGGTTGAAACATATCAAAGTTTTAAAAAGGCTCCTCAGCTTTTGGTTCCAAAAGGTTGCTTAAATGGTCTTCACGCTCTTGTGGCCTAGATAGCTCAGTTGGTTAGAGCATGGTGTTCAAACCAGAAAGTTTACAGGTTCAATCCCCGTAAGGAAAAGCTGAATATTCCTGCATAGCAGGGAGTTGGACTAGATGATCCTCAGGGTCCCTTCTAACAACATGGCTCTATGTGTGTGTTTTTTGTAGAGCATGAGACTCTTAATTTCAGGGTGGAGCCCCATGTTGGGCGAAAGTAGGGGGGTTGGGCATTGTAGGGGGTTGGAATAGATGATCCTCACATTCCCTCACATTCCCTTCCAACACTACAAATCTATGAAATAATCGAACACAGTTGCATCTTACTGCTTTAATTGCGTTTACAATGCATGTTTGCATGCACACTGGATATTCAAACTGTTTATATGCCAGTTACCTATATGGCACCTAACAATGTCTACTCAGAAGTAAAGCCTACTGAATTTAACCCTTGCCCTAGTCCAAATCAGTGGGTGGGTAGGTAAGACTGTAGCTTTAATTGCAATAACCTGTGGATAAAAACAATATAAGAAATGAAAGAAGCAATTAAAAATCAATACTGTATGAATATTTAATATGATGGAAGCGGCCTCGTCTGTCTTCAGTAACAAATCTAGACACACTGCAGGCCACCTGAATGAATCCAAAAACCACGGTTTGGAAACCCCTGTTATAAAGTATTGTTTCTGATTTTACGCTATGGCTTGTGGTTTATCATCTCTTGTAAATTACTTAAGAGACCTGTTTTCAGTCAGCGACTAACAATTCATTATTAACAGTAATAGTAATGATGATGATATGAGAATGGTTTATATAGGTTTATCGTCTTAACTCAGCAAGACAGAAAAGCTGCCTGCTTTGGAAAGTGTGACAGCCTTTAAGGTACCAGAAACCCAGACAAGAAGGAAAACCAACTCAGATAAACTGTTTTCCATCCTTCATTCGCTTCTGCGGGGTCTCCTTTTTTATCGCTCGTGCGTAAATACATTCCCCATAATTTGAGAATGGAACAGTCCACTGCTCCCGCTCCCTAGAACCCCCTTCTTTATCTGTGAATGGTACAATCCAGTTCCTTGCCAAATCCAGACAGTGATTAACGCCCGTCGCCGCCACCCGCTGGTGCCGGGAGTTGCGAAATTTGATTGGCTGGCAGATTGCTAACTGTACTCCAGTGCCATTGGTCTATGCCTCTCTCGACTCCTCCCCTGCTGGATCTGCTATTGGTCATCGGACCTCAGCAAGCGCTTTCCCTTCTCCCACCCCTCCGAGGTCATTTAAGTTTATGAAATAAATAAATAAATAAAGGGAGAAATAGAAATGCGTAGAAAAGGGGAGGGGTGTGTATGGAGGCCTCGCAACCTAACTTGCTAGGCGGCGTGAAGAGACGCGTTTTTAGCCAATCATTGGTCACCCTGGCAGTCAGCCCGGACAAATAAAACACAAGTTATTAAGCAGGTCAGCCTTAACCATACGTATATTCTCCAATGATAAGCATCGGTGGCGCTTGATCGACAGGCGTCAAGACCAATACACCGGGGACAAAGCGGATTTGTTTTTCCTCAGGGCCGGAGCTCCTCCAATGGGGAGGGCAGCAAATTAAAGGCGGATGGAAAGAGGCGGACTGCATGGCTGTTTGTAGACGCGAGGCTCCTCTGGGAGTGGCACGGCTGTCAACTAATAGGGGATACGAGCGGGGATGGCGGGGCGGGACTAAGAGCCAATGAGAGACTCGCCTGAGGGGAGGGTGGTGGCCGTCCCTACATTAAAGTGTTGAATTGGCGTGGGAGGCTGACAGAAGATGAGAGAGGTACCCGCGCTTCCGGGGTCAGTGGGGGGTGAGGAGGTGTGGCTAGCTGCGGCTCCGCCCTCTCGAGGGGTTGCGAGAGGGGAGATGCTGTTGGCGGGAGGGGGGAGTTTAAGTGGGGGGGGGGAGGAAAGGGAGGCAAAAGTTCTCTCTCTCTCTGAGGAGAAAAAAGAGGGCGCGCAAAAAATAAATAAAAAAATAAAAGTTTGGCGGCGCCCGAGGGACGGCGCAGCCCTTTGACGGTTTACTTGGAAGTAAGCCCCACTGTGCTCAATGTGCTTACTCGCGAGTAAGAGTGCCCGCCGTCCCTCCGAGTGTCTCCATTCGGAAGGGAGTAGAGCCCGGGGCTTGTAAACTCTCAAATAGAAGTGCTTGCGAGAAGCCGCACTTAGGTGGGAAGCAAGGCCGGCGAAACCGAGGAGACGTCTCCTAGGATTACGCCTTGAATGAAGGCTGCAAGCCGGTGCGCACTTTCTTCCCGCTCCTCGGAGTAAAGCTCTCAGGGCGACTTACTTCCGAGTAAACCCGCACACACAAAAAATAACCTCCCTCCAGTGAGATTTTATTGTGGCGCAAGCTTTCTTTCTGAGGCGCGAAGTATTATTTTCATATGATATAAATAATAAGTCGCGCTGAAAGACACATGCGCGGGTACGGAGAAAATTAAATTGTGAAATGCAGGGATAAAAGCGAGCTCGGACCCCAGCGAACTTTTGCCAGAATTCCCACCATCTATTATTATTATTATTATTATTATTAGTGTGTTGCTGTTACTCCGTCTCCTCCGATCTAGCAGTTACTGCTGCCGCGTTTGTATTGAAGCAGATGCCCGAGGACTTCTAAGCTTTTTCTTTCTGCAAATTTCCCTGGTGTTTCTGAGGCGTGATTTTAGGACGCTCAAATCTTTTCAGAGCGAAGTGCTTAAGATTATTCTCCTCTAAGCATATGGTCTGGTTAGGAGGTTAACAAAAACACACACACAAAAAGAACTGCTAAATTAATTTCCTAATACCTCACAACAACAACAACAATAGGAGGGATTTAATTAAAGTTGAAAATGCGAAAAGGGCTCTTGTTTCCATTTGAATCAGGATTTTTTATATTCTAAATGATACCAAATTTTCAACTGAAGGCACGTAGCTGGTGCTTGGGGGTAGGGGAAGATGGGGTAAAAAAGCAGGAGTCCCTAGGTGTTAGTGGCAGGCACGGGAAGAGTTAAGGCTAGAGTGTGGTAAGTCCACCTTCTGCCACCTATTTAGCCACTCCAGGTCGAGTACCCCTTTCTGCTAATCTCCCATTGGTCACCTGAGCTGTCGATTTAGCTCTGGAATCTATCCAGGAGCTGGAAATCTGCTTGCATTTGAAGGGCTGGGTAGGAGGCTATAGAGTGGGCAATGCCTGCTGTGGCTCTTTTCCTCTCTCCCTGGTTTTGGCTATCTATAGGCTCAACCCTTCTTTCTGGTCCCTTAAACCAAGTCCTGCTCTTTCCCTCGTTTCTACCCACCCATGTTTACAGAATGAGATTTTCCCAAACTCAAAAAAACTTCAATTCAGTGCTGAATTTGAGTGAGAAAGGAATGTAAGAATGCAAGAAGAGAAAAGAGAGTGAGGAGTTACAGGGGAAGGGAAAATGCTGAGCCGAGCCACATGGGTGGTAGTGTTGCAGAACTTGTAAGGAGGAGTCAAAGCTGGGCAACTTCACATTGTCTAAGGGTGCTTACTGAAAGGGGGGAAAGGGACCAATATTTTCCATGTTGAGCCCTGAATGGGCAGTAATCTGAACGTAATTCTTGAGAAAGGGATTCAACCTGAGATTCTATGCACACTTGATGGGAAATTTCTGAGAGGTTGCTGCAAGGCTCTTATGGGAGGGGGAGTGCCACAAGACTCTCTTGACTGTTTTAGTTGAAAGTAAATTCCACCGAAGTCAGTGAGACTTGCTTCTGAGCAAACATGTATAGGATTGGGCTATAAATGGCCTTGCTGTGCAAACTGCAAAGTCACCTTAAGCTAAATTTGGAAACAGCAAGGAAACATATTTTCAGGACAGTAATTAAGTTGGAAAGTTATCCACTGTTATCAAGATCACAAATACAAATTTCAAATGATTTGCCAACAGGAAAAATCCTAGGTGTCTAGAAATTTGATATTCTGCTGGAGAAGAATTTGAAGTATTTTATGTAACTCGCTTTATAAATACTGTAGATAAGTACTTAATGCATATTGCACCCCAGTCCTAGCCATGTCTATTCAGAAATAAAGTCTATTTAATGTTTAATCCAATAGGTTTTACTGCTAGCAAGTGGGGCTAAGATTGCAGCTGTCATCAACTTTTTTTCATAAAGAGTGAAACATGTTGGGTGTTTCCTCTTTTTTCTAAGAAAGCTTATGAGATTATTTTCCCATTTTATTTCTAATGTGTCATTCTTTTTGGATTAATTCATTTTGAATTATTTTGTGATAACTGATTTGGATTCATGGCTTCAGTAAATGATCTTTAGAAAGGTAAAACAAGTCCCTCTTTTGTACCACTCCATCTGTCGCCCCATGACTGTGATTGCTACTGTGTCATTAATTTGTAATTAATACCAGAACTTACCTTTCAGAAGTAAATCTTTTTCTGGCACAAAACTCATCTCTTTTTAAGAATTGGAACTTTTGACTTTGCTATATATTGCATCCTAAAAAATGTGGATGTGTGAAACAGCAGAATTTAGGAAGTCTGATAGATAAATCCATTGGAGCCTTTAAGGAAGACTTAGTTGCCCTATAATTTGTGGTTTGGCTTGTTTATTTAGTCTGAAGCTGCCTACACATACAATTCATTTACCTTTGATATCAGAAAGTGGGAGATGGGGATCCTATTAATTAAATTACAAAACAACAACAACAAAAAACAAACCCTCAAGTTAGCCTTGGGAATCTGCTGACCCATCTCAAAGGCTAAAGAAATACATTTTGTATCTGTTATAAAACAGTGATTACTAGATCTTGTAATGAGTCCCTTGAATGTCAATAGTGGTATCATAAATATACACCTGCCTATTCCGACACCTATAAATTCTTGGTAATTTTGACCTGCCCGAATGGTGAAAGAAATCCATGTTAGTGACCTGTACAATGGCTTTAAGGACACCTTAGAATCTTCCTTCATGGCCACAGAATTTATCTCAATGGGCATTTGCGCTTTAAATACCACAGTGTAAAACTTCACCATATGCACACATATGTCTATTCGTATAATTATTTTCTCCTTTGCCAGCTATTAAGTTTAAATT